CATCCAGCAGCTTGAGGAGACATGGCAGCGTTTAGAGAACATCCAGCAGCTTGAGGAGACATGGCAGCGTTTAGAGAACACTCAGCAGCTTGAGGAGACATGGCAGCGTTTAGAGAGGGAAGCAGGGACAGGTGAACTGAGGGTGGGAGCCTCTGGTTCTCGGGCTCTGCCACATCAATGTCAGCAAACACCCAGGAAGACTTAAAGAAGTGCTGCCGGCTGTGAGGAGCAGGTTCCAGTGAATGTTTATACCAAGAGCTGAAGATGGAACAAACTAATAATAATAATTATTCTTAAATCAATGCAGTCTTTATACTCGGTGGGGGTCTTCAGGCGCTCCTCCAGCTCGGTGTGCAGGAAACTAAACCCACCTCCCCTGAAGAGTCATGCCCACGCAAAGCCACTCAAAACCTCCTCATTGTGTCTCCTCACCTCCTCATTGTGTCTCCTCACCTCCTCATTGTGTCTCCTCATCTCCTCATTGTGTTCCTCACCTCCTCATTGTGATCCTTACCTCCTCATTGTGTCTCCTCACCTCCTCATTGTGTCTCCTCACCTCCTCATTGTGTCTCCTCACCTCCTCATTGTGTCTCCTCACCGCCTCATTGTGTCTCCTCACCTCCTCATTGTGTTCCTCACCTCCTCAATGTGATCCTTACCTCCTCATTGTGTCTCCTCACCTCCTCATTGTGTTCCTCACCTCCTCATTGTGTCTCCTCTCCTCCTCATCGTGTCTCCTCACCTCCTCATTGTGTCTCCTGACCCCCTCATTGTGTCTCCTCACCTCCTCATTGTGTCTCCTCTCCTCCTCATTGTGTCTCCTGACCCCCTCATTGTGTCTCCTGACCCCCTCATTGTATCTCCTCACCTCCTCATTGTGTCTCCTCACCTCCTCATTGTGACTCCTCACCTCCTCATCGTGTCTCCTCACCTCCTCATTGTGTCTCCTGACCCCCTCATTGTGTCTCCTCACCTCTTCATTGTGTCTCCTCTCCTCCTCATTGTGTCTCCTCACCTCCTCATTGTGTCTCCTCACCTCTTCATTGTGTCTCCTCACCTCTTCATTGTGTCTCCTCACCTCTTCATTGTGTCTCCTCTCCTCCTCATTGTGTCTCCTCACCTCCTCATTGTGTCTCCTCACCTCCTCATTGTGATTCCTCACCTCCTGTGGGCATTCTCCAGCTGCGTATCGGCTCACTTCGGGCGATACAATAATCGCCCCTCCGGAAGTAGTTTTGAGGACGCTGATTGGCTGCAGTTTATGACACACGTTCATATCTTGACTCAGCGATTGGCTAAGCTGCTGCAGAGACTCCGTGGGGCTCCATCGCCCCAGCACAGAACTTCGGTCATACAGTGTAGGAGGAAAAGCATATATATTGCGCAAATTATTTTTAAATCATATTTTACACATATTTCTGGCTGCATTCCATATTTTAAACACACAAATATTGAGAATGTATATAATTAATTAGTATTATTATAGTTATTATTGTTATTAACAATAATGTTTGTGTGGTTTAGGGAGGGCGGCGCTCTATCGCCCCCTATTGGCCAGCCCCACTGAGGAGTTTGATCTGTTGTTTCTCTGATTCTCTGCAGGTTTCTGGGCAGCGACAACAAAGACACGTTCTTTAAAACCACTCAAAGGCACCAGGTGGTGAGTTCGCCTTTATTGAAAAGAGCCTTTTTCTCACGGGAGTGAACCCCCTGATGCTGTTAGGGGGCTTCTACTCCCGTCACATCGGTGGTGTATTTCAATTCAATGCTACTTCATATTTATATATTCTCCACTAGAGTTAATAAGCAGCTTTAGCTCCATTCAACACAAAGCATCTCTGAGTAAGTGGGGTTAGGGGAAAGTCACATAAGAGTCAAATTATTTTAATATTTTACAAAAAGCCCATCAGAGCTGTGTTTGTCTGCAACAGTAAAATACAGCTTGATGCAACAATATTATCTAGAAACGTCACATATATACAAATAATTATAAACACTCATAAAGTTCATTTTTCTTCTTTGACTTTTAATACTTCACCGCTCTGTCTGACGGCCGTCTCATCCATTCAATGTTATCTGATCCAAATAAAACCCAATAACTTTATTTGCATAACAAGCATCATATGTTCATTATAATCAATCTGTAGCTTCTGCTTTAATGAATCTGCAAACACTTGAAACAGAATACATGAAACCCTACAGAAAGCTGGCTGTTTTGTTCTTAACCTGTTTAGCCCTGTGCCTGTTTTTCAGGTCTCAGGCTCGAAAATGACATTCCCAGAACAAATGACCATATCTTCTAAAAGGGGGAAATTAATCTTTTTCCTCAAAGTAATGATAAACCTGGAGTTGGATGTAGAAAAGTCAGAATCAATATAAATGTTTTTATTTTAAAGTAAATTCAGATTGAACATAGTAAAAAAACTGTAAATTATAGTTTCCGTCCAAACCCATTACTCATAGTGAAAACCACCCTCGGATGATGGGATCAGAGACTAAAAGCTTTAGGAATCCAAACTACAACATATAATAAGTACCCTGTGTAAATGTGACCTTTTTAGAGAGATTTAGAAAAAAAAAAACCCACCTCTGGGGTCCTTTGGGTATATTTGCCATATCTCTGGAACCTGTTGAGGTCTCCATATTAAGTTGAATAATTAAAACGAAAGTTAATATAATCAAATATTATCAAATAATAATAAAATATATTCTTGTATAACCCACAATGAAAATGCATTATATTTCATGTTGTTCTATAATCACAGTATTTACAAACACAAGGGGTTTGGTACATTGAGTTTAAGGCCTATTATAGTTTAATGTCACAGCTGAGGTGGGCCAGTTGAAGTTAGGATTTAATGTCACAGCTGAGGTGGGCCAGTTGAGGTTAGGATTTAATGTCACAGCTGAGGTGGGCCAGTTGAGGTTAGGATTTAATGTCACAGCTGAGGTGGGCCAGTTGAGGTTAGGATTTAATGTCACAGCTGAGGTGGGCCAGTTGAGGTTAGGATTTAATGTCACAGCTGAGGTAGGCCAGTTGAGGTTAGGATTTAATGTCACAGCTGAGGTGGGCCAGTTGAGGTTAGGATTTAATGTCACAGCTGAGGTGGGCCAGTTGAGGTTAGGATTTAATGTCACAGCTGAGGTGGGCCAGTTGAGGTTAGGATTTAATGTCACAGCTGAGGTGGGCCAGTTGAGGTTAGGATTTAATGTCACAGCTGAGGTGGGCCAGTTGAGGTTAGGATTTAATGTCACAGCTGAGGTGGGCCAGTTGAGGTTAGGATTTAATGTCACAGCTGAGGTGGGCCAGTTGAGGTTAGGATTTAATGTCACAGCTGAGGTGGGCCAGTTGAGGTTAGGATTTAATGTCACAGCTGAGGTGGGCCAGTTGAGGTTAGGATTTAATGTCACAGCTGAGGTGGGCCAGTTGAGGTTAGGATTTAATGTCACAGCTGAGGTGGGCCAGTTGAGGTTAGGATTTAATGTCACAGCTGAGGTGGGCCAGTTGAGGTTAGGATTTAATGTCACAGCTGAGGTGGGCCAGTTGAGGTTAGGATTTAATGTCACAGCTGAGGGGGGCCAGTTGAGGTTAGGATTTAATGTCACAGCTGAGGTGGGCCAGTTGAGGTTAGGATTTAATGTCACAGCTGAGGTGGGCCAGTTGAGGTTAGGATTTAATGTCACAGCTGAGGTGGGCCAGTTGAGGTTAGGATTAATGTCACAGCTGAGGTGGGCCAGTTGAGGTTAGGATTTAATGTCACAGCTGAGGTGGGCCAGTTGAGGTTAGGATTTAATGTCACAGCTGAGGTGGGCCAGTTGAGGTTAGGATTTAATGTCACAGCTGAGGTGGGCCAGTTGAGGTTAGGATTTAATGTCACAGCTGAGGTGGGTCAGTTGAAGTTAGGATTTAATGTCACAGCTGAGGTGGGCCAGTTGAGGTTAGGATTTAATGTCACAGCTGAGGTGGGCCAGTTGAGGTTAGGATTTAATGTAAGAAATGTAAAACTGTGAATTGAGGTTTTATATTAGAAAAGGTCCACAGCATGATATATTTCGTATGATTGTCACGTTGTAACGAGAGAAGGTAAAAACCCTGTAAAAGTGTTGACCATTTTCTTCAAACAAAATCATTCCACCTTTTTGGATTGGGATAACTTAAAATAAATCTGCACTCTCCTCTCCTGCTTCAAAGGTAAGATTGCACCCTGCCACACTCACACTTAGGTAGGGCCACACCTCATTTACTGATACCAGAATCCTTCGGGATCGCTTCAACAGATTTAAAAGAGTTGTCTGAATTGAAACAGCAGTTAATTGAATCTGGTTCTTCAGGAGTTAGTAGAGGTGAGATCTAGCTGATCCAGGTGGATCCGAGCCTGGCAGTAAACGTACATAGACTCAATAGCTTCTGTTGGGTCAATTAGTAGGTCTGAGTAATTGCCGGAATAAATTAACAGGCCTCCCGACTCCAACAAACCCATTGGTCGATCAGGGCTAATTCAGAGCCTTTGTTATTACCCTTGTGTTTCATTTAGCTAAAAACGATTAATATTGTCTGATAGCTGAGTTTCTTCCCGTTAAGTGGGTATGACACATTCATAGTTTGTTAAATATTAAGAAGCCCTCAGACGCTGTTTCTTGCTAGATGTTGCGTTTTTCCCCCGCCCGCGGGGCCGTGGGGTTTCACTGGTTAAAGGATATTCAAGAAACTGCTCGATGCACCTACTCTTGATTGATCTAGCTAGTTTAAGATTAGATCAGATGTTCTTTATTGATCCCAATGTGGGAAATGTTTGCGTTGCAGCAGCATAAAAACACAAGGCGTTGAACATTAGAGAAATTAAAAGACTAGAAATAAACAATTCAAAATGTAAACATCTCAAATAGAAATAAAATAGCATTAAAAAAGTAGAAAATATACCAATTTACAGTAATAATATATAAAGCAGGATATTATACATAAGTGTGTGAGGAATGGAATATTACATTGAAGTCCACTCATGAGGCGATTCACCTCTCCTCGAGTGAGGAGCCCAGACAGTCTGGACCCCCTGCTCTACAGATGTGTGTCTTTCATTGTCAACATGTGAATATAGGACTGTTTAGTTCTGTTTCATTTTCTATCTGGACTTTTCTGGAGGCGGCTCGGTTCTCATTGGAATGCTTTTTTGTTTAATACACTGGCGTTTAGAAAAAGGTGATATGTGGACACGGACCCTAAGTCTTCAATGAACCAGGGAGATGCTGCCTTCAGGGTCCAATAATAACAACCTGCTGGATGTCCGCATGCACTCAGAAGCCATGTCATATAGAAGCTAACTTCCCTAAGAGCGGCTCCTTTGAGCCTGAACGCCCGGAGAGCAAACAGACTCATGTTTGAATAACTTCTCGACTCGGTGTCACCTCGTTAAACGCCGCCTGATGCAGGAGAAGCTCCCCGTGGAACCAGTTTCAAACCTGTTTGCTCTGTGCTCTGGTTCTAACAGAGAGACGAACAGCTGACCTCTGCCGGCTTTCTTTAATATGAGGATTTTCTAATGGCCGATGTTTGTCTCCATTTCTTTAATAATGTCAGTCAACAGAAACTCAATTTGTTCTCTCACTTATTTAATGTTTGCTGTCAGGTATGACGTGCGTGTCTTTATGTCTACATGGCATGACAATGGTGCACAGTATAGTCTTCTGATCGTGTTCTTTTTGTTCTTTTTTGATACGGGGAACTGTTAGATACTTTGAAGCGAGGAAGTGTGTCTTCATGTTTGTACGCCGCCTGGATCAAAGAATACATCTGATTTGATTCAACGCTACAACGATCTCCACAAAGCTAGTTTGGAAGCCAAGAGAGGCCACAACCCCCATAGAAGAAAGTGGATATTAAATCTAGAACTGGATTAAAACGCCACGACACTCCTCCTAATCTTGGCTTTATTAATAACATTAATATGTAGTGAGCAGATATTTATATTGTCTTATGATCAATTGAACACGTTTAAAGTAGTTTTTCCAAGATAAACAACCAGATTAAATCTATTGTGAACGTCTGCTCAGAGATTATAGGTCGAAACTCTACGAATCAACAGATAGGCTAAGGGGCGGGACATCTCTAAGTGGTTGACCAATCACAACAGAGCCGGCCAGCTGACCAATCGGAGCAGACTGGTCTCTGGTTTCATGAAATTAAATACAGTTGAATCCCTGATCAAATGCACGTTAAAGGCTCTCTAACTTATTCTCTTCAGTGATTGTAATGATATGTTAAGCTGAGTGACTCACGTAAAGTTAACTTCCAACATCCTGGTGTCTGAAGGGCGTGGCCCTCAGCGAGAGCTCTGATTGGCTCAGAGGTGCAGACAGGATGTTTCAGTCAGCAGGAGGACGCTGCACCTCTGCAAACACACACACACACACACACACACACACATCCTGAAACATCATCATCATGATAGTATTTTGATTGTGAATACATGTTGATTAGCTTAGCATGTAGCCTGTACAGCTGTATTTCTCACAGTTTTACAAATAATATATGTGCAGTATATACTGTAAGTACTTAAAGTGGGAGAGCTGTACACTTTTAAAAGAGGTAGGATTGTGCAGACATTTACAAAATCCTGTAGTGTCTGTTTCCTGTCCCTCAGTGTCTGTTTCCTGTCCCTCAGTGACTGTTTCCTGTCCCTCAGTGTCTGTTTCCTGTCCCTCAGTGTCTGTTTCCTGTCCCTCAGTGACTGTTTCCTGTCCCTCAGTGTCTGTTTCCTGTCCCTCAGTGACTGTTTCCTGTCCCTCAGTGTCTGTTTCCTGTCCCTCAGTGTCTGTTTCCTGTCCCTCAGTGACTGTTTCCTGTCCCTCAGTGACTGTTTCCTGTCCCTCAGTGTCTGTTTCCTGTCCCTCAGTGTCTGTTTCCTGTCCCTCAGTGACTGTTTCCTGTCCCTCAGTGTCTGTTTCCTGTCCCTCAGTGACTGTTTCCTGTCCCTCAGTGTCTGTTTCCTGTCCCTCAGTGACTGTTTCCTGTCCCTCAGTGTCTGTTTCCTGTCCCTCAGTGTCTGTTTCCTGTCCCTCAGTGACTGTTTCCTGTCCCTGCAGCTGTACGAGATCCTGGCCCGGACGCCGTACGGTTCGATGAAACATGGGGAGGTTGGGATCGACCGTCTGCTGAGCGAGGGGGTCTTCACTGCAGCCTACCCACTCCACGAGGTGAGGTCATAACCCGGCAGGTGGGAGAGTACCATATTGACCCGAAGATACGTTTTCTTCGTCTTATATTCGGGGTCTAGACTTTACGATGTAATGTATAATCGCCAAACGAGTGTTCCCCCAAACGAGACACCGTCTTCAAGGTCCCCTATTACACTGTTTCTCATCAATATATCAGGTCCCAGATATATACAGAGCCTGTCTCTGATTGGCTGAAACACCAAACAGTTCGCCAAGTTAGGAACATGTGAACACAATGTGTGATGAGTCTTATCATTATTTTCCATAAAACATTTTTCTTTATAAAAACAAGATTTGGTTTTCAAAAAGGTATTTTTCCAAAAGTGAGTCTTGAAAGAGAGCAGTCGTGTTATATTCAGGGTCGTGTTATAATCAGGGTCGTGTTATATTCAGGGTCGTGTTATAATCAGGGTCGTGTTATATTCAGGGTCGTGTTATAATCAGGGTCGTGTTATATTCAGGGTCGTGTTATATTCAGGGTCGTGTTATAATCAGGGTCGTGTTATAATCAGGGTCGTGTTATATTCAGGGTCGTGTTATATTCAGGGTCGTGTTATATTCAGGGTCGTGTTATATTCAGGGTTGTGTTATATTCAGGGTCGTGTTATAATCAGGGTCGTGTTATAATCAGGGTCGTGTTATAATCAGGGTCGTGTTATATTCAGGCTTGTGTTATAATCAGGGTCGTGTTATAATCAGGGTTGTGTTATAATCAGGGTCGTGTTATAATCAGGGTCGTGTTATAATCAGGGTTGTGTTATAATCAGGGTCGTGTTATAATCAGGGTCGTGTTATAATCAGGGTCGTGTTATAATCAGGGTCGTGTTATATTCAGGGTTGTGTTATAATCAGGGTCGTGTTATAATCAGGGTTGTGTTATAATCAGGGTCGTGTTATATTCAGGGTCGTGTTATATTCAGGGTTGTGTTATAATCAGGGTCGTGTTATAATCAGGGTCGTGTTATATTCAGGGTCGTGTTATATTCAGGGTCGTGTTATAATCAGGGTTGTGTTATAATCAGGGTCGTGTTATAATCAGGGTCGTGTTATAATCAGGGTTGTGTTATAATCAGGGTCGTGTTATAATCAGGGTCGTGTTATAATCAGGGTCGTGTTATATTCAGGGTCGTGTTATATTCAGGGTCGTGTTATAATCAGGGTCGTGTTATATTCAGGGTCGTGTTATAATCAGGGTCGTGTTATAATCAGGGTCGTGTTATATCCAGGGTCGTGTTATAATCAGGGTCGTGTTATAATCAGGGTCGTGTTATAATCAGGGTCGTGTTATATTCAGGGTCGTGTTATAATCAGGGTCGTGTTTATAATCAGGGGTCGTGTATAATCAGGGTCGTGTTATAGTCAGGGTCGTGTTATAATCAGGGTTGTGTTTATAATCAGGGTCGTGTTATAATCAGGGTCGTGTTATAATCAGGGTCGTGTTTATAATCAGGGTCGTGTTATATTCAGGGTCGCTGTTATAATCAGGGTCGTGTTATAATCAGGTCGTGTTATATTCAGGGTCAGTGTTATAATCAGGTCGTGTTATATTCAGGGTCGTGTTATATTCAGGGTCGTGTTATAATCAGGGTCGTGTTATAATCAGGGTCGTGTTATAATCAGGGTCGTGTTATAATCAGGGTCGTGTTATAATCAGGGTCGTGTTATAATCAGGGTCGTGTTATATTCAGGGTCGTGTTATAATCAGGGTCGTGTTATATTCAGGGTCGTGTTATAATCAGGGTCGTGTTATAATCAGGGTTGTGTTATAATCAGGGTCGTGTTATATTCAGGGTCGTGTTATAATCAGGGTCGTGTTATAATCAGGGTCGTGTTATATTCAGGGTCGTGTTATAATCAGGGTCGTGTTATAATCAGGGTCGTGTTATATTCAGGGTCGTGTTATATTCAGGGTCGTGTTATAATCAGGGTCGTGTTATATTCAGGGTCGTGTTATAATCAGGGTCGTGTTATATTCAGGGTCGTGTTATAATTCAGGTCGTGTTATATTCAGGGTCGTGTTTATAATTCAGGGTCGTGTATAATCAGGGTCGTGTTATAATCAGGGTCGTGTTATAATCAGGGTCGTGTTATAATCAGGGTCGTGTTATAATCAGGGTCGTGTTATAATCAGGGTCGTGTTATAATCAGGGTCGTGTTATAATCAGGGTCGTGTTATATTCAGGGTCGTGTTATAATCAGGGTCGTGTTATATTCAGGGTCGTGTTATATTCAGGGTCGTGTTATATTCAGGGTCGTGTTATATTCAGGGTCGTGTTATATTCAGGGTCGTGTTATATTCAGGGTCGTGTTATAATCAGGGTCGTGTTATATTCAGGGTCGTGTTATAATCAGGGTCGTGTTATAATCAGGGTCGTGTTATAATCAGGGTCGTGTTATATTCAGGGTCGTGTTATAATCAGGGTCGTGTTATAATCAGGGTTGTGTTATAATCAGGGTCGTGTTATATTCAGGGTCGTGTTATATTCAGGGTCGTGTTATATTCAGGGTCGTGTTATATTCAGGGTCGTGTTATATTCAGGGTCGTGTTATATTCAGGGTCGTGTTATAATCAGGGTCGTGTTATAATCAGGGTCGTGTTATATTCCGGTCAATACGGTACTCTGACCTTTGACCTCAGCGTTAGGAGGGAATGTGCATTGTGAGACACGCTGCAGGGTACACTTCCTGTGGTTCTGTTCCATCTGAGAGCGGCTGTATCAACCTTTTCTCTTTGTTTGCAGGGTGGGTTCCAGCCGCCCAGCCCCCCAGTGCCCCCCCAGTCTTTAGCTCTGAGACAGATCCTGTACTCGCACTGGGCCAACTGGTCCTCCTGGAGAAGCTACCAGCCTCTGGACCACATCAGGGAATACTTCGGAGAGAAGATAGCGCTTTACTTCGCCTGGCTTGGTAATTACCTCATGAGTAACTAAACCACCTCTGAGGGCCCCACAGTGTGTGTCCACAGCAGGTACGAGCTTCTGCTCACCAACAACCCCAAACGTTTCAAAATGTCTAACACAGCATACTGTATACTGAACATTTAGTGAGTCTCAAGTGACGAGTGACTAAGAAGCTCTGAGATCTCGCTCAGCGCTTCCTGTTTCTCAGTTAGACCAACACAACATTGTTTGTTCTTGTGTTGAAGCGTTGAGTGTTTTAGAGATGAGTTTGAGCGTGTTGGGACCATAGCACTGAGCCTTTTCCCACCCAGCATAAAGAGCTCGGTGCAGGCTGATCCCTGATGAAAGATAACTCGCTGTATCGCCTGGAGCTCACCGTTTCATCTTTGTGTTGACCACCACTCAGACCAGGCTCTTCATCTGGGGAAGAATTGTGTCCGGGACTCCTGAGCATCATCATTATATTGTCTGAAATGAACAAGGTCATTTATGCGCTACCTACTGCCTCCCACTGGCACGAGGAAGTATTGAATGACTTCACTTCACATTACAGGCACAGACGCTCAACAACGGCTGTGTTGACTATTGGCACTCAATATCACCAAGGGATTGGCTAAACTGGGTACTCTTATTTGGACGCGTGTAATCTCCATTCACTACGAAGTTTTTAGCTCTCAATACCATTTGATTTCCAATGGAAAAAAACAGCGACATGGTCAACAAACTGTTGCTCTTCCCAACAGTTTGAGGTCACCTAAATACCCTGTGCCCCATGCGCCATCTAGTGCTACAATAAAAACAAATGGGCACTGTTAGGGAATAATTCTCCTAGATCTTTTGCCCTTTGACGTTTATGACCAACCCTGACGTCTGTTATCTCCCTTAAGGAAGGGGCTGCTTCAGCCATATGTTGTTACCAGTTTATGACCGGGCAACTCTCGGTCACAAATGGTTTATTGTTGTGGGTACACTGGAACACTTCCTTCTTGGGGTTTGTGGACTCCAAGGTGTGAAATCTTCGAGGCCATAAGCGTCAGACGCAAGTAATTCAGTGTTCCCTGCTGTTTAGTCTATCTCCTAATATATGTTGATTACTCTGTGAACTAGTTAATCTGCACACTTCATTTCATTTCATTTCAAACCTTTATTTAACCAGATTGGTCCCATTGAGATCATAGATCTCTTTTTCAAGGGAGACCTGCAGCATATAGGTTCCACATGAAACATGAAACAATAAAGGACATTATATTTACAGGATACATTTACATAGTTATAGACATTTACAAGTACCCATAGTATCAACGAGCATTTCATTTAGCCTAGCTTTAAAAACATGCAGAGGAATGAGATCGCTCAGTTTCAATTCTTGCTGAAGATTGTTCCAAGCAAGTGGAGCTGCACACATAAAAGCTGTCTTACCTAAGACAGTCCTTGCTCTTGGCACATCTAACAATACTACATCATGCCATCTCAGACAATAGCTGCTTGCAACTCTCTGTGTTATCAGAGAGCAGATATAATACGGGAGTTTACCCAACAAAGCTTTATAAATAAACGTGTACCAATGACTGAGGCTCTTTACAGTAAGTGAAGGCAGACCTGCCTTGGTATACAGGGTACAGTGATGAGTAAGTGCTTTACAATTAGTGACAAATCTCAGTGCACTGTGATACGCAGCATCTAACTTGTTCAGGCAATAGGCAGGTGCATTCATATACAACAAATCACCATAGTCCAGCACAGGTCAAAAGGTCACAGAGCCTTTTCCTGGCCTCAAGAGAGAAACAGGACTTGTTCCTGTAGAAGAAACCTAGCCTAACCCTCAGCTTTTTAAGCAGGTTATTGACATGAAGTTTAAAAGTGAGACAATCATCAAGCCAGATACCTAGGTATTTATAACAGGTAACCACTTCAAGTACTTGTCCTTGCATAGTAACAATATCCAAAACAGGCTCTGGTGTCTTTTTAGCTTTTGAAAAGAGCATTACCTTGGTTTTATCAACATTTAAAAGAAGCTTTAGTTCAGAGAGCTGAGTCTGAATAATGTTAAAAACAGCCTGTAATTTAACACCAGCCTCCTGAATGGAGGGACCTGCACAGTACATCACGGTATCATCCGCGTACAAATGTAAAGTAGCTTCATCCACATTTTCACCTAAACTGTTGATATGGAGAATAAAAGTGGACCTAAAACAGAACCTTGAGGAACACCATTAGCAATGTTTAACCACTCAGAAGACAGCCCATCAAAGTGAACACATTGGGACCTTTCAGAGAGGTCGTTCACAAACCACCCACTGCATGGCTGGATATGCCGATACTGACCAGCCTCTGCTTTAAGATGTGATGATCGACGGTATCAAACGCTTTGGACAGGTCAATAAATAGAGCTGCACAACTCTGCTTATTATCTAAAATACTCGTAATGTCATTCAGCACTTTCATTGTGGCAGTGATGGTGCTGTGTTGCTTTCTGAAGCCTGACTGATGTTTAGACAGGATGTCATGTGTACATAAAAACTCCTTTACCTGTTCACTCACTAGGCGTTCGAGCACCTTAGCCAGAACAGACAATTTAGAGATTGGCCTATAGTTATTTAAAATAGTTGCCTCCCCTCCTTTTAGCAAAGGCAGGACATACGCTGACTTCCATACTTTTGGAATTGTGTTAGTGCTGAGGGAGAGGTTAAAAAGAGTAGTGAGAGGTGGAGCAATACAATCTGCAGCTATCTTTAAAAAGAAAGGTTCTACGTTGTCCGGACCAGCCAGTTTCTTAGGATCTAGCTTAGATAATGCTTCATGAACAACATTGACAGTAAAAGTAGTAAAACTGAAAGGGTTTTCCAGACCACATTGTTCAGAGTCACGGATTGTGGTGTTCACAGAAGCAGAATTAGTCACAGAATCAAACAGAGAACCGCAGGACACAAAATGCTCATTAAAGCAATTTAGCATAGTAGCCCTGTCCGATATAGAGCCAGATGCTGTGGTAATGCACGGAGGTAGCTCATTACGGATCTCACCGGTGGATATCGATTTGATTGCTTTCCAACATTTCCTAGGATTATTTAGGTTTTCTGTGGTAACTGACAAATAGTACTTCGACTTTGCACTTTTGACATGTGAAGTGAAGCTATTCCTTAGCTGCCTAAAATGCAGCCACTCTACCTCTGAGCCTGATTGCCTAGCCTTTGCCCAGGCCGTGTTTCTCTCATGCAGGAGACTAGACAGCTCAGCAGAAAACCAAGGATTGTCTCGTCCCTTTACTCTGAATGTACGCAGGGGTGCATGTCTATCAATGATCTCCATAAAACCAAGATAAAAATAAGACCATGCGGTTTCCACATCAGCACACAGATCGATTTTTCCCCAATCAAACCCAAACAGATCATGAACAAAACCCTGCTCCACAAAATGTTTTTTGTCTCTCTTGATAATAATGCGAGGTTTAACCTTTTGGACCTTAGTGTCCCTAATTGTGGCTACAACACAGTGATCACTCAGATCATTCGCAAATACTCCCACAGCTGAGTATCTATGGGGAGCATTAGTTAAAATGAGATCAATTAGGGAGGATTTATTAGGGGACTTAATGTTAGGGCGAGTAGGACTGTCAACAATCTGAGTAACATTCAAAGAGATACAAAGGTTTTTAAAATCCTCTGACACTGCAGTTAACCAGTCCCAGTTAAAATCTCCAAGTAGCACTATTTCCTTGTAGTCTAGTTGTGATAAAATATTTGCTAGTGAAGACAAGGAGTCTTTGACAGCTGAGGGGGGTCTGTAACAACTCACTACCATGACCTGTTGACCCTTTGCCACTTCTATATTTATGGCTAAAAATCAAATTGCTTACTGATAGATTTGGAAACTAATGTGGTTACACTGAACTTATTCTTAACATAAATGGCAACGCCACCACCTTCATTAGGCCGGTCGGTACGATACACATTAAAACCATTTAAGGCAATGTCAGAGGCCAAAATATATTTGTTTAGCCATGTTTCTGATAAGACAATGACGTCAGCGTCAGTCGAGCCCAGATACAGACAAAATCTAGTTTACCTAACAGACTGCGCACATTCAAGTGGATGAAACCCAACCCAGACCTAGCTTTAAAATCAGCAGGAGTAGTGATCTGACTACTACTACTGGGCGGACCAAGGTTAGGTTGTACATTTCCTGACAGTAATAACAACAACAAAAACAGGCATCTTTTCCTCTTAAGCGACACACATACATCATCTAATTTAGAAACACCGGAAAAGTCTGCGAGAGTGTGATTAGAGCTTAAGAAGCAGTCCTGAAGAACCATCATCGCAGGAAAATAAAAAAGACAAACATATTTTGTCGAGCAGATTGACTGTGACAAGGCAACCGGTAATTGTTTGAGCAACACATCCGAACCTTTGCAGGGGATGCCCACTGCGGGTGGCAGAACAGACCTGAATCCAGTAGACTCCTCAGAATGACTAGAGATCTTCTCATAGTTCAAAATAGTTAACAGGCACAGCAGAATCCCGATATGGGCCATTTTCCCAGACCAGCACACAGTATCCACGATGTTCCTGGAGCAAAATCAGCACAGCAGCAAAGGACAGGCGAAAACAGCAGCGTGGAAGCGCTCCGGTCCCTCCGTGGTATCCCCGGGGTGAAAGCAGGCCTCTGCAACAGCAGAACCAGGACAGGTGGAAAGCAGGCCCCAGCGGTGGTAAAAATCCTCCTCCATACAGCAGCACACGCCCGGTGGAAGCAGGCCAAGCCCGAAGCGTGGATCCACTCCGTCTCTCCGCAACGACTCCGGGGTAAAAACCTCTCCAGTACAGCCGTATTCTACAGGTGGGAGCAGGCCTCCGTAGATCGCAGATCGCAGGCAGCAAACAGGTGGAGCCGCTCCGTCTATTCGCGACGTCTCCAGAGGAAAAACACCTCAGTACAGCCGCACTCGACAGGTGGGAGTAGGCCTCCGCAGATCGCAGACAATTGATTACTCTGTGAACTAGTTAAAAGGTCTATCGAGAGAGAGAGGC